TATTTTCCTCATCTGTTTGTTTATTCTGCATCAGTTCATATAAGTGCTTCCATAGTTCTTGGACAAGAATTCAGAGACTTCTGACTTCCCAAGTTGTCTTGGGAGGGAAAAAGTCTCAACTCAACTTTTTGCTGACTTTGCCACTGAAGAATGCAATTTGATGCATTATTTCAAAGTTGTTTGGAAGGGAATGTAGAAGCCTTTATCTAGAATGCTCTCTCTACTCCACCTCACCTTTTTAACATCCCTCATTGACACCCCCTTCTCTCCTCTGACACTGCCACCATTCTAAGGTCAGCCCTTTGCACTTCATGGTTGGAAGTTTTCATCTAGGTTGCTCTTCAGTCTTGTTTACTTCAACTCTCTCCCCTTAGGGAGACTGGCTATCTCCCCACTCCAATCCATCCTCCACTCAGCCACCAAAGTGATTTTCCTGTAATGCTCATGTAATCAAGTCACACACACACACACACAAACACACACACACACCCCACTAAATAAACTTCAGTGACTCTCTTTAGCCTCTAGGATCACATACAGAATATTCCGTTTGGTATTCAATGCCCATCATAACCTAAGCTCCTCCTGACTTTCCAGTCTTCTTACACCTTACTCCCCGATTCATATTCTTTGATCCAGTAACACTGCTCTCCTGGCTGCTCTACAGAGATGATATCCTGTCTCTTGGCTCCAGTCATCTCTGGCTGTCCCACATTGCTGAAATAGACTGCTTCCTCACTTCCATTTATTGGCTTTTTTTTTAGCTCCTAGCTAAAATCCCATCTTCTACAGGAGGTTTTCCAAATCCCTCTGATAATTCTTTCCTATTTATCTTACATATAGCTTGTGTATGTGTGGTGTGTGTGTGTGTGTGTGTGTGTGTGTGTGTGAGTGTGTGTGTGTGTGTGTAAACTCTTCCAGGGAAGGAAGGGATTATCTTTTATCTCTTTTTGTATTTTCAGCACTTAGCACAGTGCTTAGAACATAGTAGGTGCTTAAGAAATGTTTATTGACTGATTTACCAAGTGTATAGAAGGGAGCGAAATGTGAAAACAATTGGAAATGTAAGAAGGGGTTATGTAGTGATGGACCTTAAAAGTCAAATAGAGCATTTAATATTTGATCCTGGAAATAAGAGGAAATAACTGTGGTTTCCTATAGACATGATTAGACTCGTGATTTAGGAGATCTATTTGGAAGTTGAATTTGGCAACATGGATTGAAGTGGGGAGAAAGCTAAGTCAGGGAGACCAACTAGAAGACTACTGCATCATATCACACAGGATCTGATGAAGGCATAAACCAGAGTGGTAGCTGTGTGAGTGGAGAGAAGGAGATGTGTATAATAGATGTCATGAAGGTAGAAACAATATGACTCAGCAAGAGATTGTCTACTGGGGATAAGTAGGAGAGAGGTGTTGAGGATGACATTGAGACTGCATTCTTGGGTAACCAGAAGGATGGTAGTGCCCTTGACATTAACAGGGAAGTTCAGAAGAAAGGAAGGTTTGAGGAGAAAGATATCTCTGTTTTGGACATGTTGAGTTCCAGATGTCTATGGCACATCAAGCTTGAAATATGTCCATTAGGCTGTTGGTATTGTGAAATTATCCACGAGCTAGTCCACAGATACTCTGAAATCTATCCATAGATCTTCTTCATTGGTCCTTGGACCTCAGGTTGAGAACCTTGGGTATAGAGCAAGAAAAGAAGAGAGCTTGGAACAGAGTTTTGGGAGGCACCCATGGTTGATATGGATGCCCTGGGTGAAGATCCAGCAAAGGAAACTGAGGAGGAGTTATGCAGATAGGAGAAGTACTACAAGAGGTAGCATAATAGAGTGGACTAACAGCTAGCATTGGAGTCATGAAAGACTTGGGTTTATGTTGTTTCTGGGTGACCCTGGGCAAGTCTCTTGACCTTTTAGCAGCCCAAGAAACTTGGTCTAAAACTATAAGATATGGAACAGATATAAATGTTTAGGAACATTTTGATACCTTTTTATTACTCTCCACATTTTTTAAAGAGCTAACATTTCATTCTCATCTTTTCACATGTGACTTTGAATATTTAGATCATTGATTGGAATTTGTAGTGTCTCATGTAAGTTTCTCGATTATTTACTTTGGGGAGGAGAGGCATGTTGCTATTCTGTTCTCTCAGCCATTTTGTGCATGTATCACTTTCCTGAACAAAATAGGGGCTTTTAAAGGGGGAGGGTTGGTGAATTTGAGCATTAGGCAAGCTAGATTTTGAAAAAAAAAATCTTCAGTTTTCAGAGTAACTAATCTTATCCTGGCAACCACATGGGGATGGTCACAGTTGTAGAGAGAGCCTGTTTCTTCAAAATACTGGGAGAGATGACCTCAAAATGACTGAGAAGTGATAGCAGTCTTTAATTTTAAAACATATTGGCTATAATATCTTGGATGAGATAGTCACTAATAGGACAGATGTGCTTTAGCTAAGGTGATCCAGGCAGGGTTTTGTTCCAGGGCACCAACACTGAGAGGGTGAGGAGAACATGTGTATTCTTTCAGTAACTACAAACAATGGATCTTACAGCCTAGTCCACAAGAATAAATGTCTAACTGGGCAGCTAGCAGCTGGCATCTTCCTCCACTCTCTCCCCTGACAAACTGACTCCATCCCATTGGGCCTCCTTTCTGGTCTGGTCTTAATGTCTTACATACTCCCACTGGTTTCCTTTTCCCAGGGTCTCAGTGTCCTCAATGTAGTGTCCTGGTCAATTTAAAGTACATTTGAAGGCATTTGGTGCTTCTGTTCCTGATGTCAGAATTGCTAATTATGGTTCTGACTGTTTCTATGAGTTAACTAGCATAGATAAGGATTATTTATTATGGTACTGATCCCACTCATCTCCCACCCTTACTGGCCAGAAAATTCTAAACTTGTTCGTAGAGCAGAGTCTTCTGTTTCAAGTGATCTTGGCCACAATGTGGCCAGACAGGGAGAAGGAAGAGAACTAGAAGAGAGATACAGTGTCAAGGAAGTCCAGGGAGAGTGTGATCAATAATATCAAAGGTTTCAAAGAAATCAAAAGATAAAGATTGACCAAAAGGCAACAGAATTTTTCAATTAAGGGACACTTTAATCTCAGAGAGAGCAGTTTCTATTGAGTAATGAAAATGGCAGCCAGATTATGGAGCGGGGAGTTAAGTAGGAGGTGAGAAAGTAGAAGCCAATGGATAGATCATTTTTCTAGGAGATTGACCATGCAAGGAAGGAGTGGCAAAGAAGGGCAATATAATTGAGGTTGAAGAGAGCATGTAGAGGGATTCCCAGGTGGCTTCCATGCTGGCCATATGTGATTCAGCACCCCTGTACTTTTAAGATGAAAAGCCAGTTATGCAGGACTCAGATGTCCTACGCCTCCCAGAAGTTGAAGCAAACCCTCCTCCTCTACTGAACCAGAAGAGCTGTTATTAACTCAGCAGATATTCAATAAGGCATGTTGTGTCAGTTTGAAGGGCCAAGAGTGCTGAGTAACACAAGGCAATAAGAAGCAGACAGGGAATCTCTGGAGTTAGGTTTTATTGTTTTAAGAATGAGGGAGATGTGAATGTTTGTAAGCAGTAGGGAAAGAAGCAGCTGACATGGAGAGATTGAAAAATAGGAAAAGACACGGGAGGATAGAAGGCACAAGTTGTCAGAGGAGAACGTAGGAGCTGTGATTAAGGGCCCAAGTAGAGGGACTGGTAGTTGCAAGCAGAAATGCTGCATTATTTTTCTATTCCTCCACCTCCCTCTCCCATACTGGAATAAAAAAAAAAGGAAGTGTGTGTGTGTGTGTGTGTGTGTGTGTGTGTGTGTGTGTGAAGGAGAGGTGATGTAGAATATAGGATTTGGAAAATAATAAATTACCAATAGATATTCTAAATTTTTTAGTGAAATATTGAGCTCAGTATTCTGGTGAGAGAGAAAGGGACATGTGAGAGGATTGAGTAGAAAAGAGAAATCTTAGAATAGATGCTGAAGGGAGGGAGATGGTGAGTCAGAGATGAGTTCTGGGTTCAGTAGCAAACCTACAGTAACAGAGAAGGCAAGTGGTTGTTGGAATTTGGTAATTTATGCATGTCTCCATAGGGCAAGAGAAAAAGGAATTTTGACATGAAGGTCAATTTAAGATGGAACTGATTGACTATTGGGTCGAGATATTGATAAGAGGCAAGAGATGGAGTGAGGATCTGTAAAAACAAAGAAGCAAGGAAGTGAAGGAAAAAGAGTTGATGCAGAAGATGTGAGCTTCAGAAAGAAATGGTAATGTGTTAATAGTGGATAGAATGCTGTACTTGGAGTCTGAAAAATGTGGATCTGAATTCTGCCTATAACACTTTAGGGCTGTGTGGCCATAGGTTAGTCCCATAATGTCTAAGAACTTTAGGCTACTCACTCAGACATAGCTACTGAGTTATAGTTGAGTTCTGACATGCTCTTGGACTTTACCAACAAAATCATAGATCCTTGACAGATAGATGTATCATGTTATGTTGTAGCGTGGAGGTGATCTCAGGTGGTTAGGATCTAAACTCTGGAAGGTTCTACAACACGAGAAACTTACAGGTCCATCAACGTGAACTGGGCACCTGGTGACCTTCATAGTCAATAGCAGAGAAGTCTACCACTAGTGTGGCTGTCATCAGGAGATAATTCTCCTTTGACTATAACCTTTGCAAATGGTCCACGAAAGAATGGATGGGTAGATTGACTTTCTCCACTGATCCAAATATCGTAGATGGAGAAGCAGTTGAGAACACTGAGCCCGTGTAGTCTAACCTATTCATTGTAGAGATGAAATCTCTGAGGTGAGAATGGTGAAGTGACTTGTCCAAGGCCACACACGTTGCTAGCATTAGAGGCAAGATTGGTCCCAGGTCTTCTACCCGTAGAGTCAAGGCTCCTTCCATATTATCATGCTGCTTCTGAAGTCATGAATCTTCAATGTATGGAAGTGAAGGCGTACATTTGCACACCAGGAGTTAGTAGCAACACAGCTGTTTTTATTGTTCTCCAAATTCACAAACAAGATCTATACAATACAAAATAAGATCATGTTTGAAGATATTTGAAAAGAAAAGTACAAATGGTTTTTGGGGGGATATTTTACATATCTTCTTCCTCACCCTAAAACTAGAATTGAGGATGTGGTTGGAGAGACTGGTGAGAGGGTTGCATACGAATGTATATAATGCAGCCCATATAACATAATGACACCACATACTCTGCATGGCCATCTTATCTCTGAAATGTAAGAATCATTTTAATCAATAGGTGGGAATTTCTCTTTCCTTCAAGGGGATTCCAGTGAAAAATGTGAGAGTATAGGGTCCAGAAGATGAAACTAAACTAGATGGCTAATTTACCAAATCAATTTTGTCTTCTTCCTTAATGAGGAAGAAAGCATAGTTGGTAATGTGGTGGAACAGTGAGGAATCCAACTCGATTGGTCTTGATGCTAATTGCATTTGGATCTCCAACTGGTTTGAGGGTGAAGTTCTGCATAATGGTGGTAAGGAACAAAAACAACTCCATCCTTGCCAGGCCCTCTCCAAGACAAGACCGTTTTCCTGGAAAAAAAAATTGTGCTTAGAAATCTTCATGCATTATCAGTGTCAGCCAAAGTGAAACGGGACAATAGTAAGGAGAAGAATAAAAGTGAAGTATATAGATGGGCAGAAATTGTGAGAACTATTCATGTGGTTTATATTTCAGCCATTAATGGTCACTAGGGGCAGGAAGGAATTCCTCCTTCATACCATTCTTCCCATGGTGAGCCCTTGTGCAGTGGATCTTGCAACGGAGTCATGGTTCCACTAAAATGTGGGGGCTAGTAAGCCATCCAAGAGGCTCTTGTCATCTCTTGAGGGTCTGAGAAGAAGCTAGGCCACGGGAATACTAGAAAAGACAGTATGTCATGTGCCACAGTGGGGTAATGTGTCCTCAGAAGAACTACCAGGAGGAGGCTCCAGCAGAGGAGGGTGGGACAGGGAACTGAATCCTCCCTGTAGAGTGAGAGGTAGAGATGGGAAGGGTTTCTTTTTACCAATGGAAAAAGGCATGAAGTAGTCACTTTTCTTGAATTTCCCATTCTTATCCAAGAAGTGCTGGGGGTCAAACTGGTCAGGGTTGGGAAACTCTTTGTTGTCATATAAAACTGAGGAGAGCACTGGCAAGATTGTCGTGCCCTGGAGGGAAGAAATTCCAAGGCAAAGTCAGTTATCATCATGAATATCCTTGGTATCCCAGTTCCAAGAATGTTCAATGACTCCATGTTATCTCTAGTACAAAATGCACACTCCGTTGTGTATGGTATAGACTGGGATGTCTAGCCATTGGGAATCTGCATAGGCACCATTCTAGCTTTCTTGGTTTATCTCCCCATTATTGTCCCCATTATGCCCTCCTTAGGGTTCCAATTAAACTGATACAACTGCTGTTCCCCATCCACAAGGCTCCCTGTTTGGTCTTCATGCCCTTATAATGTCCATGTCTCAATTCCTGGAGGGCACTCCTTGCTCATTTCAGCATTTTAACATCCCCAGCTTTCTTCAAAGATTTGCTTGGGTACCCCTTCCTATAGGAAGCCTTGGCTAAGGCCCTGAGATCTTTGTGCTCTCTCTCTCCCCTCAGTTCCTTGGTCGATACTTCATGTCTACACCTGCTGCCTGTGTGACTCTGGGCAGTGGAATGGCCAGTGCCCCAGACAATGCTTAAAGCCTCTAGGGGCAGACCAAGGCTTCCTCCTTTGGAAGTTGATTCAGCAGCAAGCCACTCTGCTAGTCAAATCACAGATTGGTCTGAAGGAAAGAAATAACACTTTGTGTGGACTTTTCTGGTTCCAAATTGTGCTCCCTCCTGCAGAAACCAAAGTCCCTAATGGTCAAAATCCCTTCTATTCTTGCCTCTTGTCAATAGCATTTGGCCTAACAATCCTCACATACATGATTCTTACTGAACTTTAATGACTTAAACTGAACAATGCATTCAATGGGGGTATATTAAATGTGAAATTAGGTGACATGCTCCCTTCTTCTTTCTCTGAGGGACAATTGTTCTATTCAGCCATTGCCAGGAAACTTCAATCTGATTCAATTAAATTCAGTCAATGCTTTTTTATTATCCCCTGGAAAGCAGTACTTTAGAGTCTAAAGACTTAGGTTCTAGTTTCAAGTCCAACATTTTTAAATGACCTTGGACAAATCATTTGACCTGAGACTCAGTGTCTCCATCTGCACAATGGGACAGACAATAGTATTTACACAATCCACTTCACAGTCTAGTAAAGGGAAATGAAATAAATAAAATTTTCACTTGAGCAATCTCAATTTGTTATTTTCATTGTACATTTTTGTTCCAAAGTGTTGAATGAGAAGCATGGTGAATGAGAAGCAGGGAGAACCAAGATAAGTATACACTTTCCCTTATTCTTCATTCAGCACCACATCATAGTTAGCCTCATGCAACAAAAGACTGCCTGAAGGGAATTTCATGTGAGATTGACAATGGAATGTGATTTTCTCGTGTCTAAAATGTGATCACTGCACCAGATGATATTTGAGATGTCTTCCGACACTAGATCCCATGACCTTATGACTGCTGACCTTAGGGAGTACGTAGTTTTTGAACTTGATATCCTGGTTCACTGCATGGGGCACGTTGAGAGGTACGAGGTCAATGAATCTTTGCACTTCATGCACCACAGCATCCACGTAGGGCATGTCTTGTCTGTCCTTTATGGAAGGAACTCGATTGTGTCCAATCACACGATTGATTTCCTCATGAATTTTTGCTGCAGGAACAAAAAACAGGAAAAACAACTGAGTTTCCTGGTCTCCTGGGAATGCCCAACAGAGCCTGTGTAGCATGTTTGCCTGATCATATGACCTAAGATGATTCTCAGGGGGCTCAGTGTCCTCCTTCTACACAGTCCAGGAAGCAAAGGCTTTTTCTTTTCTTTTCTTTTCTTTCTTTTTCTTTTTCTCTTTTTTTTTGCAATTTACAATTTATTTATTTATTTTTAGTTTTCAACATTCACTTCCACAAGATTTTGAGTTCCTAATTTCTCCCCATCCCTCTCTTCCCTCATCCCATGAAAGCCTGCATTCTGATTCCCCTTCACCAAATCTGTTCTCCCTTCTATTACCCCCCTTCTCTTATCCCCTTTCCCTTTTATTTTCCTGTAGAGCAAGATAGATTTTATACCCCTTTGCCTGTGTATCTTATTTCCCAGCTGCATGCAGAAACAATTTCCAAAATTTGTTTCTAAAACTTTTAATTCCAAATTCTCTCCCCTCCTCCCTCCCTCCCCACCCTCATTGAGAAGACAAGCCATTTGACATAGGCTATACATGTGCAGTCACACAAAACACCTCCACAATAGTCACGTTGTGAAAGAGTATATTTTCCTCCATTCTATCTCAGCCCCCATTTATTCTATTCTCTCTTTTGTCCCTGTCCCTCCTCAAAAGCGTTTGCTTATGACTACCCCTCCCCCAATCTTCCCTCCCTTCTATCACCCTTCCCTCTCTTATCCCCTTCCCTTCTATTTTCATGTGGGGTAAGATAGATTTCCATACCCAATTGGTTGTATATGTTATTCCTTAAGCCAAATCTGATGAAAGTAAAGCTCACTCATTCCTTCTCACCTCCCCCCCTTCCCCTCCACTGTTTTCTTGCCTCTTTTATGTAAGATAATTTACTCCATTCTACCTCTCCCTTTCTCCATCTCCCAGTACATTCCTTTCTCACTCCTTAATTTTATTTTTTAGATATCATCTTTTTATATTCAACTCACTCTGTGCCCTCTGTCTATGTATATTCCCTCCAAGTACCCTAATAATGAGAAAGGTCTCATGAGTTACAAATATCTTTCCATGTAGGAATGTAAACACTTCAACTTTAATAAGTTCCTTATGGTTTCTCTTTCCTGTTTATCTTTTCATGCTTCTCTTGAGTCTTGTATTTAAAAGTCAATTTTTTCTATTTAGCTCTGGCTTCTCAAGAATGTATTAATTTCCTCTACATCATTGAATATCAATTTCTTCCCCTCATTGATTACACTCAGTTTTGCTAGGTAGGTGATTCTTGGTTTTAATCCTAGTACCTTTGACCTCCGGAATATCATATTCCAAGCCCTCAGATGCCTTAATGTAGAAGCTGCTAAATCTTGAGTTATCTTGATTGTGTTTCCACAATACTTGAATTGTTTCTTTCTGGCTACTTGCAGTATTTTCTTCTTGACCTAGGAACTCAGGAATTTGACTATAATATTCCTGGGAGTTTTCCTTTAGGGATCTCTTTCAGGAGATATTAGTGGATTCTTTTAATTTCTATTTTATCCTCTGGTTCAAGAATATCAGGACAGTTTCCCTTGATAATTTCTTTCCTTTTTCTTTTTTTCTTTCTTTTTTTTTTCAGTGAGGCAATTGGGGTTAAGTGACTTGCCCAAGGTCACAAAGCTAGTACGTGTCGAGTGTTTGGTCTAAGACCGGATTTGAACTCAGGTCCTCCTGACTTCAGGGCCGGTGCTGTATACACTGCACCACCTAGCTGCCCTGATAATTTCTTGAAAGATGAAGTCTAGGCTCTTTTTTTGTTCATGGCTTTCAGGCAGTCCAATAATTTTTGCTATCTCTATTGCATCTGTTTTCCATGTCAGTTGTTTTTCCAATGAGATATTTCACATTGTCTTCTATTTTTTCATTCTTTTGGTTTTGTTTTATAATTTCTTTATTTCTCATAGAGTCATTAGCTTCCATTTGCTCTATTCTAATTTTTAAGGAATTCTTTTCCTCAGTGAGCTTTTGGACCACCTTTTCCATTTGGCCAATGCTGCTTTTTAAGGAATTCTTCTTCTCACTAGCTTTTTGGACCTTTTTTGCCATTTGGTCAAGTCTACTTTTTTAAGGTGTTATTTTTTTCAGCATTTTGAGGTCTCCTTTAGCAAGCTGTTGACTTGTTTTTCATGATTTTCTTGGATGACTCTCATTTCTCTTCTCAGTTTTTCCTCTACTTTTCTTATAAATGTATAAATTTATGCAAGGTATAAAACCTATAGGAGCCTCATTTTCCTCATCTGAAAAATGGGGATCATAAATTATTTGTCTTCAAAGTTTCCCTATACCTCTAAATCTATTATCTTATGATTTGTAAAATGGAGATTATAACAGCACCCCCATTAGTGGTCATCAAATAAAACAATATATGTTAAGTGATTTGCAAACATTACATCCTCTATATTGATACCAGCTAATATTGTCAAAGAAGGTAGATGTCTTCATTTTAATTTCATACTGCTGGTTATGACATTATCATCTTGATTTAAACCATTCACCAGGTATGTATCTCAACTCCTCTCTCAATATCCTAAGTTATTGAGTCATAGAATCTCTGCATTAAAAATGACCCATTCTCACCTAGGGCCCTCCATGCTTGAACAGGCATCCTATTTCTAATGGAATGAACAGAGGGTCATTCAGCCTTTGCTTAAGAACCTCCAATAAGCAAGAACTCATGACCTCCAGGGCAGCTGATTGGACGTTGTGGTGAATTTTAATAGTTGGCAAATCTTTTCCTTACATGAAGTCTCTGTTTGTTAATTTGCAATTTCTATCCATGGTTCCTCACTCTGCCTTTTTGGATCCAGCAGAATCAGCCCTAGCAGAATGTAGGGCATTTGAGGAAAGGGGATATTTCATTTGAGTCCTCATATCCCAAGCACATAACTGAGACTGCACAGTGGGAGCTTCATACATGTTTGTTAAAGTGAATTGAATTTCCCATGATAGACCTTCACACACTTAAATATCACATCTTGCCCAAGTGTTCTGTTTTCTAAAATAGGCCTGTGGGAGTCATACAAAACCAAAAGGTGGAAATGTGGGACCAGCTCCTGAGCAAGGTACATGGTTGGGAAAATAAGCTTGGTCTGTAAGCATGGCAATTCCTGTACTTTACCTTGGACCTCAGGATGTTTCAGAATGAGCAGCAGGCCATATCTTAGCGTGCTGCTGGTTGTCTCTGTTCCTGCAGCAAATAAGTCTGCTGCAGTTGCTGTTAGATTCTCTAAGTCAAATTCAGACTGGGGATTATCTTTTTCCTAAATGAGAGGTACAAAAAATGAAGTAATGAGAGACAGCAGGAAAAGCCATTAGTAACCATATGAAGTACATAAAGTTTGTCCTAGGAGCCCTCCCCCACCTTACTTTCCTTATCCTAAGAGACTAGAACCTTCCTTATGCCCTTGGGCTTCCATTGCCCAATCATAGGCTTGCCTTTTCCAGGCAACCTTCTTTCCCTCAAACAATATGGCATAGTGGATAGAGCACTAGACTTTGAATCAGGAAGACCTTTGAATCAGGAATGACTCTATGAGAAATAAAGACATTATAAAACAAAACCAAAAGAATGAAAAAATAGAAGACAATGTGAAATATCTCATTGGAAAAACAACTGACGTGGAAAACAGATGCAATAGAGATAACAATCTATCTTAAATTTAGCCTCAGCTAAGAAGTATGTATGTATTCATGGGAAAGTCACTTCATTCCTCAAGGTCCCAGTTTCCTTACATGTAACAGGACCAAGTTGGATCCTTTTCAGCTGTCTCTTTACTATTAATGATATGTATGGTATAAAGAAGACTTAATCAAGTAATTAACTTAAAACCTTATTGACTTGGTAAGTGACCCCTTATACTGGTATTTTTCTATAAAACAGGACAGCATCTTAGGAAAAGAAGGAGGAGGAGGAAGAGAAAGAAAAGGAGGAGGAGGAGAAGGAAGAGGAGGAAGAGAAGAAGAAGGAAGAGGAAGAAGAGAAGAAGAAGAAGGAAGAAGAAGAAGAAGAAGAAAAGGAGTAAGAGGAGGCAGAGGTGGAGGAGAAGAAGGAAAAGAAGGAGAAGAAGAGGAGGAGGAGGAGGAGGAGGAAGAAGTAGAAGGAGTAGGAGAACTACAACAACAACAACAAGGAATTAGAAGGAATTGCAAATTGTCGGAATGGGAAATTGAGAGAAAGGTTTTGCAGTGGAGGATACAGAATTTCAAATTTTGTAGGGAAAATGAACTTCCTCCAGGTAAACTGTGACTGATTAGAAATTTCCTTTTCAAAATCTCCCTTAAGTAGTCATCTAGCTTCAACCTGAAAGCTTCCACAGATGGGGAACTTGTTATATAATAAAGAATTTCGTTCTAGTCTTCTACATTATCCTCACGTGGAAATGAAATGTGTCTCTACTTTCAAACCACTGTTACGAGTTCTATCTCCTGGGAGCGGGGAAGCAAAAGCTTTCTAATCCTTTTGTGTGACAGTCTTTAAAATTAGGTGGCTACTGAGGTCCCTTCCAAATCACAAAAGCTGTGAAAATCTATGAAACATGCAAGCTCATAGAATTTAGAGCTTAGAAGAACCTCGGACATCACATGGTCCAATACAACTCTTTTTACAGAAATTGTGGCCTAGAAAGATGAAATGATTTTTTTCAAGGTCACACAGGGAACATGGGAAAGGGTGGAACAAAGTTGGGTAGAAGCTCATTTTCTACTCAAATCAACTGCCAGTGAAACTCATGGAGAAGGAAAATGACCAAATAATCTAGACCAGGATATAAAACAATGAATATAAACTATTTAATTAAAAACAGATATTCTAACATCTCTGATAAATAAGAAAACAATGTAGTAAGTATTATAGGACTCTCAGAAATAAACCAACACTACCCTAGATGCAGCTCTGTGGCAAAATGGACTTGGAGTCAAGACTTGGACTCGGACTTGAAATCCATTTCCTCATCTCTAAAATGGGGATAATAACAGCATCTACCTCTTGGGATTGTTATGAGGCACAAGTGAGATAATATTTGTAAAGTGCATTGAAATTTTTGAAGCAGGTTATAAATGCTATAGCTATGATTATTTAAGTGTTTCACAAAGAGAAAGGAATTAAAAGGAGAAAAGGATGAAGAGTACGCTGAAATAACAGGTCTCAAATATGAAACACTGAATTGACAATTTAGAACATATGATGTATGATGTGTCTAAAGCTGTATAGATTCTTTTAAGGTGAAACTAGTTGATTTGTTACTAGGAAATAGAGAAATTTTGACATGAAATGTAGAAACAAAAATATTGGAAAACATTGGCTCTCTACAAGCCAAAATAAACTTGAAGACAGGACATGAATAATTTAAGATTCTTATATATCTTAGAAATTTGGAATTAACTTTAAATCCTGAATATAATATTTCAATAATGAAAATGTACAATTGTTAAAAAACAGAACAAAATATATATTGATAGAATTCAGAGGCTGTCCTACAGAAAGAATCATCAAGTATAACACATCAAAAAATGTAGTGATCAAACACTAGATCTTCAACACTAATCAAGTATTTTGGGCAGTGAAAACAAAACCCCCCACCTGTCAAGGAAAAGAAATTTGGATAGGTCAGGTACTCCTTCTCTCTGACAAATCAAAGGAGATATTGGAAAACAATAATATTAAAATCAAAGGAGATTGGGTTATAGACCTAGATAGCTAATCCTGGAGATATAAGCTTAATCATGCATGAAATAAGATTGACTTACAGCCTAAATGTTGAAAAATGAACAATTTTGAAAGATTAATGAATCCATATCAATATAATTCTCAATCATGAGGGTAGAGGACCAGTGATGAAGAATGCCACCTGCCTTCTAATAGAGAGTTGTGGGAGTAGTATGCAAAATGAGACAGATATTTTTGGATGTGGCAAATATGGGAATTTATTTTTCTTTATTATGCTCATGTGTTAACAAGAGTTTTGTTTATCTATTCTTCATTGAGCATGAGGATATAAATATTTGATAAAAGAAGATAGTCTTATGGAAAAAACATGAATTTCAGGCATTTCCTAAAAAGGATTTCAAAGCGAGTCAGGTATTTGACTTAGAAAAGTTCACATCAGACCAGCATAAGGTAAATAAATTAATGAGAAAAGATTAAGCAATGGAATCAATACTCTTATGCTTTTATGTCAATTCAACATTATTTTTAAAAAATTTCTCATTGGTTCGGGGCCACTGAAATAAAGGCAAAAAATATGGAGGCAAAAGTAACAAAATTGCAATATATCTAGGGAAGGTGTTAAAGAAGTCCTGGTATCAACTAGGAAGAAAGTTTCTAGTGAACATTTCAATGATCTATGTTTAGTTCTATGCCCTTTTAACATTTTTATCAATATTTTAAGTCACTCAATCAACAAATACATAAGATGTATCTCTTATGTAGCAGGCAGAGTGCTAGGTGGTGGGGATATAAAGGCAAAAGAAAAAATGAGATAGTCTCCACCCTCTAGGAGTTTACATTCTACTGAAAGAATGCAACACATTTAAAGGGAAGTACACATGTGATCTGTAGAAAATAAATACACAGAGATATTTGGGTGGGACACTAACAAAAAGAGGAATAAGGGAAGGCTGCTTGAAGGAGGCAGCAGCTAAGTGTAGAAGGATATTAAGGCTGCTAAGAGTTGGGGAAAGTGAGTGAGAGCATTCCAGGCATGGGGTCAGACTGTATAAAGGCAAGTAGGAAAAAGATGGGATATTATGTACAGGGAACAAGGAGGCAGGTTTGACTGGAGCATAGAGAGTGTGATGGGGAAAATGCATATCCGGGCTAGAAAGAGAGGCTGGTGTCAGATTGTGAAGGGTATTAAAAGCCAAACAGATGAATCTGTGTTGTTTGGATTGACACAGTGAGTCTTGCACTTTATGCATGTTTACTTTGCAAATTTGTGAAGAATAGTTTGAGAGTCTGGATGCTTGAAGAGCTGTTAGGAAGAATTGTCATTGTCCAGGTGAGAGATGATGTTAAACTGCACTAGGGTGGTTGTGGTGTGAATAAAAAAAAATGACTTAAAGATTATTGTCATAATAGGGTTCTGAGGGAGAAGAAGAAGACATTTACTTTCTACTCCTCCCTGCTAAACCCCTTCCCCCACTGACATGAGTTATTAGTACAGTTCAGATCAAATGGGAAAGAGGATAGCTTGTTCAGCCCTCTCAAAATGATTGTTCCTTCTAGAGGAATTTTAATCTATTGGTTTAGACTGTGAAGGAATGAAGGAAATCATCATTTATCAAGCATCTACTATGTGCCAGGCCCTGTACTGAGCACCTTACAGATATCATCTCATTTGATCTTTACAATGACCCTAGGAGGTAGATGCTATCATTATGTCCATTTTACAGTTGAAGAAATAGAGGCAGACAGATGTTAAGTGTCTTGCCCAGGCTTATACCATGATAAAATGTCTGAGTACAAATCTGAACATAAATCTTTCTGATTTTAGTCTCAGTACTCTATCCATACCAACACCGACCTTCCTCTATCAGTCTGACTGCAACTCTGTGGGCCTGGAAGACAGTTAAGGATTAATTGGAATGTTGGACAGATGTCCTGATGGCAACCGAGTAAATTTTCATAGTCAGGTAACAGTATGGGATACTATAAGTGCTCCATTTGTTTTCTGAATTTGTTTGTGGGTTTCTGGGAGGCTTTTATATCTTTTTCATTTTTCTGCGAAGCAAAATAAAGGCTCTCCTTTTTTCTGGTATTAGTTAATTTTGAGTACTTTTATGGAAGCTAGTTATAGCTAGCATTTATATAATGCTTCAATGTTTGTTATTCAGTCATTTCAGTCGTGTCTGATCCTTCATGAACTCATTTTGTGTTTTATTTGCAAAGATACTGGAATGGTTGGCCTTTCCTTCTGCAGTGGATCCATTTTCAGGCAATCAGAGGTTAAGTGACTTGCCCATGGTCACACAGCTAGGAAGTGTGTGAGGCTGGATTTGAACTCAGTTCATCCTCACTCCAAGCCCTGTATTCAATCTGCTGAGCCATCTGCTGCCTCTGCTTTAAAGTAAACAGAATGCTTTACAAACATATCATTTTATCCCTACAGTCCCCAGGGCTATCATTGATACTATCCCCATTTTACAGATGAGGAACAGAGGCAAACAGAGGTGTTATGACTTGCCTAGGGTCACACAGCTAGGAAGTGTCTGAAGTTCACTTTGAACTCAAGTTCTCCTGACTCCAAGTCCTGCTCTACATCCCATTTCTCCTGTTTAGATCTTACTTGGTATGTATTAATTTTCATATTATCTCCTCCATTATATTGTCAGCTCCTTGATAGCAGGGGCCGAGCCTCTTTTCCCTCTTTTCGTCTCTTCAGCACATAGTAGAGTACCTGGCTCATAGGAGGCACTTGGTAAATGTTTATTAATTGATTCCTATTATCATTCTCTAAAACAATATCCTCCTCCAAATAGGAAAGCCCAGATCAGCATCTCATCACCCAACAAAGAAGAACTCTTCCAAGAGCATTTCCCTTACAGAGTACAGATAAAGGATAGGGTCAGAGCAAACAAAGCCCCTTTGATAGAAAGCCAATGGCATTCTTGTGAGACATGAATACCTTGAGACTCTTTCATGTTCCTACCTGTGCTTTGAAAAGAGCGGCCTGCAAGAATCCTTGGAATATCAGGCTTGCTCAATGAGCAAGCTGTTTCCCCCATTCATCCTACCTGCTGCATTTTGGAGAGGTAGCAGTCAATGTAGTCTTGAGTGTTGTTGGGGTCCAGCACCTTTTGATGCTCCTTCACTCTTTCCAAAATGAAATGTTTGATTTTCTCCAGATTTCTAGAAAGTGTTTTATGCTTTCCAGAGAGGTACACCCTGAATGCTGGTAAAAAGTTGTAGAGCTACACCCCCCAGACCAAAAAGAAAACACACATGTGAGTTAATTGTCATAAAGAGACAACTTTATATTACTCCTTATAAACTATTATGTTCTATTCAAAGGAATTGCGTTTCTTTTTAAGCTTAATTAAAAATTTTTATTAACAAAAAGTGTTTTTTTTTCATCTTCACTACACGTTGGGGAAAAAAAGAAAAACAAAACCCTTGAAATACATATACATAGCCAAGCAAACCTAATCCCTACTTTTTCAAAGGCCAGAAATGTGTCACATTCTACATCTTGAGGCCATTCCCTCCCTGTCAGGAGGAGGACACTATGTTTCACTGCGGTTCCTCTGGAATCATGGTGAGTCTTTACATTGAGTAGAGTCCTTGAGCCTTGCACGGTCTCTGTCTTTCCATTGTTTTTGTTTTTGTACCAATCGGTTCTGCTCATTTTACTTGGCATCCATTCATAAAGTCTCCATAAGTGTACAGCTGTCTCTTTCATTATTTTTCAAAACACAGTAGAATTCGATTGTATTCGTACACCATGATTTATTCAGTTCTACCACGATTGATGAGCTGCCCCTTAGTTTCCAGTACTTTGTAGCCCCCCCTCAAAAATGTGTTTCCATTTTTTGTATATAACTTTCAATTTTGTGGATTTTCTTCTTTTTAATGTTTTTTGGGGATACTGGTCAAAAATGGTATTGCTAGTGCAAAGGACATACATGATTTACTAACAGAGGAGAGACAGATCCAAATTGCTTTCCAGATTGCCTGAATAATTCAGAGCTACACCAAGAGTTTGTCAATATGCTGATTTTCCCATAGTCCCTCCAACATACGATATTTACCTTTGTTTAAATACATTTATAAACATTTGGAAGGTTAAATCAAGACTTGTCTACTTTCATAAGAAAGCCATTTGGGACCAACTTTTGTGCCAATCTTTAAAGGGTAATAAAGTCTTAGAATGCTTTTTTCTTTTTGAAAGCTTCTATTCAGAAAAAACTTGGTATTGATTATGAAACAGGGGGAATTTCTAGGAGCTATCAACAGATAAAACATCTTATCTTAATTGGAAAAAGCAAGTTTCAGAGTAATACACAACAGAACTAGAGAAGTCAGAATCCATTTGTCCTCGTTGAAGTTCAGGGAGTAAGAATCTCATTTCTCTGACTGAAATGAGCATGGAGCAGAGAGAGAAACCTGGGTAGAAGTCAATGCTTCTTTCTCCTCCAGAGATGGAACATTCACAAAGTACAGTGCTGTCAAGTTCTAGTGGGGTTGGTGATTAGGACTGGGGAGAGGGATTAATTAGAGACTTCAGAAAAATGAAAGCTCTAACCATCAAGTAAGCTCAGCACTCAAAGTAAGAGGAAGAGAAACATTCTCTTTGGAGCAGAAAGTGTAAAATCAATTTGTTTTTAATTTATTTTGTTTTTCAATTGACAAACCTTGTCTCTTCTTGCCTCTTGAATTAAAATTTTTTAAAATTCTTGTAATATATGTAAATAATCAAGTAAAACACAAATCTCACATTGTCTGTGTCCAAAAATCTATCTCATTCTGCCTATTCAATATGTCACCTCTCAGTCAGAAAAGAGCAGTGCATTTCATAATAAGTCCTCTCAAATCAATGGTGATCATTGTATTGATCAGAATAATTCAGTCTTTCAAAGTTTTTTGTCTTTACAATGTTGTAATTATATGAAATATTTCCTGCTTTTGATCATTTCACTCTGCATCAATTTATACAATTCTTTGCAGGCTTCTCTGAACTGATTCCTTTCATTATTTTTATCAGAAAAAATATTCCATCAAATTAGTGTAACATAATTTTTCAACCATTCCCAAATTAAAGAATATGCCCTTCAGTTTCCAGTTCTCTACCACAACAAAAAAGTTACTAAGAGTATTTTTGTAAAGATGAGTCCTCTCCATTTTTCTCTGATGTGTATAGGGTCTAAAACAAAAAGAGAAATTACTGATTGAAAACATATGCCATTTATTGTCTTTTGAGGCACAGTTCCAAATGATTTTCCAGAAGGACTCCACTAGTATCATATTAATGTGCCAGGTTTTTGCAACTCCACCAATATTTGTCATTTTCTTTTTTATCATCTTTTCCAAGTGAAAGTATGATTTGCTAATAAATTACTAATCCATTTAGGTCAATTCAAAAACTACTTATAAAGCACTTAATCAATGTAGAGCAGAATATTAGGTTTTCAGAGAGACACACAGTTTATAAAAGATATAATCCCTGTTCACATGAAGTTCATTTTTGAGAAGGGAATAAGATTAATACACATAGATAACTCTTGAATAAGTAATACATTATTGGTGCATCAGAAAGATGTATATGAAATTCCATGTGAGATCCTAGAGCATAAGATCATTGCTGATCACAAGGACCAAGGTATGTTTCATGAAGCAGGCAACATTTGAATTGGACTTTAATGGGTGGGTAGAAAATCAACAGATAAAGAGGGGACCTGAAGGACACTCAAAGAATAGGGGATAGGAGAAACAAAGCAACAATGTCAAAGAAGCACACAGGTTGACTGTGAGACAGAGAAAGGTGCAGTGTGGCTTAGTCATAAAACATATGAAGAAAAGTAGTACGTGGATCAAACTGAAGAGTTGAGGTGATGCCAGATTTGTGGGTCTAGAATGCCAGACAAACAAGATACAATTTTCTATCTCTCGAGTAAGTCTAGTTTGCATATCTCTGTGGCCCCAAGCCAAGGCATTTTCAGCCTCTGGTTGGCATTGATCTTTATCAGGTAAAAAGCAAAGGGGAGGGTTGAGGGAAGAGCAGGCTCCTCTCTGACTTCTACAAAATTGAAGATGGAAACTAAAGCCATCACTTAACAAATTGATCATCATTCACTATTCTTGCCAAGAGTGAGGAGGCTTGGGCTGACCAATATCAGCAAAGGGACTTAGAGACGTTAAAGATTCATGTTTCTTACTGTATTAGTTCACATCTGTTTTGTGAATATGAGGTTTTCTGTTCTTCAGCAGAGAATGATTAAGTGGAAAGGCCATTGGATTTGGAGTCGGAAGAGATGGATCAGCGTGCATGCCTTGTGACATATTGGATCACCTCAGGTAAATCATGTCACTTCTCTGTACCTCAGTTTCCTTCTCTCTGAAGTAATAATAATAACAATAACAGCAACAGTAGATATCATTTATGTAGAACTGTGTATGTGACCAAAGTGCTGTACATATATTAACTCATTTGAATCTCACAACAACTTTGGTAGGTAAGTATTTTATTATTCTCATTTTACAGATAAGGAAACCCAGGATGAAAGAAGTGAAGTGACTTTCCAAGGACCATACAACTATTAAGTGTCTGAGGGAGGTTTCAGATTCATTATTCCTCACTCCAGGTCTATGCCTCTATTCATTAAATTCCTTTCATTCCCTAAATTTTATGATTTTGTGATCACTCAATCAAAGGAGCAGTCAAAGGAACAGCCTTCCTGGGCACTTAGGAGTATTGAGCTACTCTGAACAAATCCCAAGAGTTTCATAAGTCTTCACAAATCTAAGCCTAAATTGATAAATATTTCAAAACTAATTTGTCCAGTGCTGTGCTACTCACTGAGAGGACCAGGAGGCAGAATATTATGTCCTTGTTCAAAAGAAACTGATATGTGAATTAAGGAAAATCTACTTACCTTGGAAAAGCCAGCATTAAAAAAAGAAGATAAGTCACACAGAGACACACAATCAATTCAATTCAATTAACATTAAGTCAATAAAATCCAGCAAGCATTTATTCAGTACTCCCTATGAACCAAGTTCTGTGCTAGGCTATGACGATACAGACAGCAATGAAGGAGTCCTCATCTTGAAAAATCTTATATTCTATGTGAGAAGGATTTTGCTAGAGTATATATCCCTCACTGTTAGTGAAACAAAACATGGGGGGAAAAAAGAAAGCTTGTTTTTGGCTGGATGAGGATCCTTAATTCAGGCTTCAGTGAATGAAGGCTTTGATCCTCCATGTCCACCCATTGTAGAGGTTAGGCTATAGCCCTCCCAATAGCCCTCCTTAGGCTATTGGCCTAAGTGGCTTGCTGACTTAGCTTTGGCCAGCTTTCCTCTCTAATCCCTCCAGAATGGCCTGGGCAAGCTCTTTGCTGGTAACTATTTTACTTGGCCACATCTATGAACACTGTCCTACTTGGGATATCCCAGAGACTAATCAGACTTTTCTCCCAATAACTTAAATATTTGTATGACCTAGAACTAGCTCAGAGGCCTACTGGAAACAGAATATCTACCTGGATCCAATTTGAGAGTCAAAGATATTGCATGATATTATGATCGTTGAGTGCATAATATGTGCATGTGTGTGTACTCATGTGTTTGGGACCTTGCAAAGAGATAAGAACCTATGGTACACTGATCTTGTTGCTGAAACTCAGTAAATATCCACAGAATAAGAAGACAGCTCTGGCCTTACCTGTGCCCATGGTGAGCTAAGCAGCTGAAAGTTTTCATTTAACAAGGTCATCAGATTTAGAAATTTCTCATCATTGTACTTGAATCGATCATGGAAGAGGATAGAGCAGATCACATTGCAGGGGGTACAGCCAAGGATGAAGGTGGGATCAATGGGTTGACCTAATGGAGGGAAAAGTTACCAAAGGAGAAAAACTGCTTCAACAGAAATGTTTCCAATCTTGTAGGAACTGGACATCTATTCTGCCAATACCTGGATATGGTGTTTAATTCCTCTAAGGCTAATGAATGTTGTTCTCCTGGACAATTTGCTTTACCCTTTATAAGGAAACTAGAAAAGTTTAGAATACCTGGGTAGAAGAAGAGAAAAGGGAATTTTCTGGCCCAGCAGAGCGTACCAAGGCAGAGACTTTTAGAAAGACTCCCAAAGCAAGTAGTATTTAGGGCAGGGTATAGGTGAGTAGTTGGACCCCACGTGCCCAAGAGGAAAGAACTGAAAACCAACCCTTTGTTTTCCTGAGCTCCTCCACCAGGCATTGGGCTTCTTCTTGAACTCTCTCTTCAATGCTTCTCTTCCCCATCCCAAAGTTCCTTAGGGTCATGAGGGAAAATCTTCGGATTTGTTTCCACCTCTCTCCATGACTGAAAACAACTCCTAGACAAAAAAGAATAGGATATTAGTTATTCTAACACTAGAGGTGGTAGAGGGTACAGTGAGCATGGTGGCCATGGGATTTTTTTTTTTTATTTCCTTCTTTTTTCAATTAATTAATTAATTTTTAGTTTTCAGCATTCACTTCCATAAGATTTTGAGTTCCAAATTTTCTCACCCTCTCTTCCCTCACCCCACCCCAAGACTGTGTACAATCTGATATAGGCTCTACATATACATTCATATTAAACATATTTTCACATTATATTATATTGTTATATTGTAAGTTATATTGTAAAGAAGAGTTAGAACTAATGAGAGGGACCACAAGAAAGAAGAAACAGCAACAAAAAAAAGGAGCAAATAGTATGCTTTGATCTTCATTCAGATTACATATTTCTTTGGATGTACATAGCAATTCCCATCATGAGTCTTTTGAAAATGTCTTAGATCATTATATTGCTGAGAAGAGCCATGTCTATTAAAGTTGATCATCACAGAATGTTGCTGTTACTCTTTACAATGTTCTCCTGGTTCTGCGCACTTCACTCAGCATCAGTTCATGTAAGTCTTTCCAGATTTTTCTGAAGTCTGCCTGCTCATCATTTCTTATGGAATAATAGTATTCCATTACATTCATGTACCATAACTTGTTCAGTCATTCCCCAATTAATGGGCATAGCCTTAATTTCCAATTCTTGGCCACCACAATAAGAACAGCTATAAATAGTTTTGTACATGTAGGTCCTTTTCCCATTTTAATGATATCTTTGGGATACAGACTTAGAAGTGGTATTGCTGGGTCAAAGGAGGGTATGCACAGTTTTATAGCCCTTTGACCATAGTTCCAAATTCCTCGCCAGAATGGTTTGATCAGTTCACAACTCCACCAAAAATGCAGTAGTGTTATAATTTTTCCACATCTTCTCCAACATTTATTATTTTCTTGTTTTGTCGTGTTAGGCAATCGTATAGGTGTGATATGGTACCTCAGAGTCATTTAGATTTGCATTCCTCTAATCAATAGTGATTTAGAGCATTTTTTCATATGACTATAGATAACTTTAATTTCTTCATCTGAAACTGCCTGTTTACACTTTGACCATTTATCAATTGTGGAATGACTTGTGTCCTTACAATTTGACTCAGTTCTCTATTTATTTTAGAAATGAGGCCTTTATCAGAGACGTTGGTTGTAAAAATTGTTTCCCAGCTTTCTGCTTCCCTCCTAATCTTGTCTGCTTTGGCTTTGTTTGTGCAAAAACTTTTCAATTTAATGTAATCAATTTAATTGTAATGTAATGTATCTATTTTGCATTTTATAACGTTCTCTATTTCTTGTTGGGTCATAAATTCTTCCATTTTCCATAAATCTGAGAAGTAAACTATTCCTTGCTCTCTTAGTTTGCTTATTGTATTAGGCTGTATGTCTAAATCATGTACCCATTTTGACTTAATGTTGGTATACAGTGTAAGATGTTGGTGTATGCTTAGTTTTGGCCATACTATTTTCTAGTTTTCTCAGTAGTTTTTGTCAAATAATGAGTTCTTGTCCTAGAAGCTGGGAACTTTGGGTTTATCATAGAGTATATTACTGTAGCCATTGACTACTGTGGCTTGTGTACATAAGCTGTTCCACTGATCCACTACTCTGTTTCTTAGCCAGTGCCAAGTAGTTTTGATAACTGCTTCTTTATAATACAATTTAAGATCTGGCACAGCTAAGCCACCTTCCCTTGCATTTCTTTTCATTAATTCCCTTGATATTCTAAACCTTTTGTTTTTCCAGATCAATTTTACTATTATTTTTTCTAGCTCTATAAAATAAATTTTTGGTAGTTTGATTGGCATGGCAATGAAAAAGTAAATTAATTTAGGTAGAATTGTCATTTTTTTATTATATTAGCTTGGCCTACTCATGAGCAACTGATCTTTTTCCAGTTAGTTAGATGTAACTTTACTTCTGTTTTGTAATTGTGTTGATATAGTTTCTGGGTTTGTCTCGGCAGATAGACTCCCAAATATTTTATAATGTCTACAGCAACTTTCAATCGAATTTTCCTTCCTATCTCTTGCTGTTGGGCTTTGTTAGTAATATATAGAAATGCCAATGATTTATGTGGGTTTATTTTATATCCTGCAACTTTGCTAAGGTTGTTAATTATTTCAAGTAGTGTTTTAATTGATTCTCTAGGATTCTCTAAGTATACCATTGTATCATCTGCAAAGAGTGATACCTTTGTTTCTTCTTTGCCTATTCTAATTCCTTCAATTTCTTTTTCTTCTCTTATTGCTAAAGCTAACATTTGTAGTACAATATTGAATAAGGGTGGTGATAATGAATATCCTTGTTTCACCCCTGATCTAATTGGAAATGCTTCTATCTTATCCATATTACATATGATGCTTACTGATAGTTTTAGATAGACGGTACTTACCATTTTGAGGAAGATTCCATTATTCCTATGCTCTCTAGTGTTTTTTTTTAACAAAAATGGGTATTGTATTTTGTCAAAAGCTTTTTCTGCATCTATTGAGATAATCACATGATTTCTGTTAGTTTTGTTGTTGACGTGGTCAGTTATGCTGATAGTTTTCCTAATATTGAACCATCCCTGCATTCCTTGTATAAATTCCACCTGGTCATAGTGTATTATCTTTGTGATAAGTTGCTGTAATCCTTTTGCTAATATTATATTTAAAAATTTTAAATCTATATTCATTAAGGAAATTGGTCTGTAATTTTCTTTCTCTGCTTTGGCTCTTCCTGGTTTAGGTATCAGTACCACATTTGCATCATTAAAAAAAGGTAGGGCTCCTTCTTTGCCTATTTTCCCAAATAGTTCATGTATCATTGGAATTCATTGTTCTTTAGATGTTTGATATAATTCACTTGTAAATCCAGCTGGCCCTGGAGATTTTTTTCTTACAGGGTTCATTGGTGGCTTATTCAATTTCTTTTTCTGAAATGCAGTTATTTAAGTATTTTATTTCCTCTTCCATTAATCTGGTTAATTTATATTTTTGTAAATATTCATCCATTTTACTAAGACTGTCAGATTTGTTGTCATACAGCTGGGCAAAATAGCCCCTAATTATTGTTTGAATTTCCTCTTCATTGGTGGTGGATTCACCTTTTTCATTTTGGATACTGGCAATTTTGTTTTTTTCTTTCTTTTTTTAAAAATCAAATTAACCAAAGGTTTGTCTATTTTATTGTTTATTTTTTCATAAAACCAGTTCTTAGTTTTATTTAATAGTTCAACACTTTTCTTAATTTCAATTTTATTAATCTCTCTTCTTGTTTTCAGAATTTCTAATTTGGTATTTAATTGGAGATTTTTAATTTGTTCTTTTTCTAGCTTTTTTAGTTGCGTGCTCAATTCATTGATCTCTTCTTTCTTTATTTTATTCATGTAAGCATTGAGAGATATAAAACTTCCCCTAAGAACCACTTTTGCTGCTTCCCGTAAGTTTTGGTATGTTGTCTCATTATTGTCATTCTCTTGGATGAAGTTATTGATTGTTCTTTTATTTGTTGTTGATCCACTCATTTGTTAGGATAAGATTATTTAGTTTCCAAATCAATTTTAGTCTATCTTTCCATGGCCCTTTATTACTTTCTAATTTTTTTTTGCATCATGATCTGAAAAGGATGTATTTAATATCTCTGTCTTTCTGCATTGGATTGTGAGGTTTCATGCCCTAATACACGGTCAATTTTTTGTGTAGGTGCCAGGTACTGTGTCGAAAAAGGTATATTCTTTTCTATCCCCATTTGGTTTTCTACAGAGGTCTACTATATCTAACTTTTCTAAAATTCTGTTCACATACTTAATTTCTTTCTTGCTTATTTTCTGGTTAGATGTATCTAGTCCTGTGAGGTGGAGGTTGAGGTACCTCACTAGTATAATTTTGCTCTCTATTTCTCCCTGTAACTCACTATCTTCCTCTAAGAATTTGGATGCTATACCACTTGGTGCATACATGTTTAGTAATAATATTACTCCATTGTCTATGGTACCTTTAAGCAGGATGCACTTTCCTTCTTTATCTCTTTTAATTAGATCTATTTTTGTTTTGCTCTGTCTGAGATCAGGATTTATACACCTGCTTTTTTTTTTTTACTTCAGATGTAGCATAATATATTCTGCTCCTCTTTTATCTTTACTCTGCGTGTATCCATCTCCTTCAAATGTGTTTCTTGTAAACAATATATTGTAGGTTGTGGTTTTTAAACCATTCTGTTATCCATTCCATTTTATGGGAGAACTCATCCCATTCCCATTCACAGAAATGATTACTTTTGTGTCTTTCTCTCCATCCCATTCTCCACCTCCATTTATGCTTTTCTCTCTCCTTTCTCCCTTTCCCTCCTCACTAAAGTTTTGCTTTTGACCACCACCTCCTTTAATTTGCCCAACCTTCCATTAGCCTCCTCACTTTTCTTTCCCTTTTCCTCTACTACTTCTTCCCTCCTTTCTATCCAATCCCTCCCTCTTCTTTCCCCTTTCCCCTCCAACTTTCTATAGGGTAAGTTAGATTTCTATTCCTAACTGAGTATGTTATTCCCCTTTTGATCGAAATCCAATGAGAGTAAGGTTCAAACAAAGCTCATCTCCCTCCTTTCTTTTCCTCTACTGCATTAGGTGTTTGTGTGTTTTCATGTGATGTAATTTACCCTTTTCTGTCTCCTCCTTTCCTCTTCTCCCAGTACAATACCTCTTCACCACTTAATTAGATTTTTTTATCATCCCATTAAAGTCAACTTATTCCATGCCATCTGTCTATCTATACCCCTTTTAAATGTCATAATAGAGATACAGTTCTCAAGAGTTACAAGCATCATCTAACCATGTAGTGATGTAAACAGTTGCTATTTTGAATAACATTTTTTTTTCTTTCCTGTTTAACTTTTTATTCCTCTCTTGAATCTTGTATTTGAGGTTCAAGTTTTCTGTTGAGCTCTGGTATTTTCATCAGGAAGGTTTGGAAGTCCCTTA